CTTCATACCATCCTCTGGCAAGGAGTTCCATAGGTTAGGTTAGATACTTCATACCATCCTCTGGCAAGGAGTTCCATAGGTTAGGTTAGATACTTCATACCATCCTCTGGCAAGGAGTTCCATAGGTTAGGTTAGATACTTCATACCATCCTCTGGCAAGGAGTTCCATAGGTTAGGTTAGATACTTCATACCATCCTCTGGCAAGGAGTTCCACGGGTTTAAGTTAGATGCTTCACACCATCCTCTAGCAAGGAGTTCCACAGGTTAGGTTAGATGCTTCACACTATCCTCTGGCAAGGAGTTCCACAGGTTAGGTTAGCTATTAGGCAAGACCCTTGCATTCGAAGGGAAGCTAAGCTCTAGAAGGCACTTGTGGGATCCCTGTCACTGGAGGTTTTCAAGCACACGTTGGACAAACCTCGGTCAGGGCTGGTGGAGGTTTGCGTGGTCTCAGCTCAGCGCAGGGGCTGGACCTGATGGCCTCTTGTGTCCCTTCCAGCTCTACATTTCGATGTTTCTCTGATAGTTTATGTCTCTACCAGACAGTTTGTTAGAACCAGGTCTGCTCTCGTATAGGAACGAGCCGCTGTTTGTGCCTCTGTAGCAAAGATTAAGTTGGGTTTTGCTTTCTAAAGTAGCTCTTTATCTATCAAACTACCTGTCCCCATACACCCCCATCTGTCTATCCCTACCTCCCCCCGCCCTCTCCCCCTCTCCTTTCCTAAATTCTGTAAAGGGAACATAGCCTATAAGGCAAGAATACAGAACAGTGAATGAGCGGTTATTTCTCGACTCCTCCGTGCTGCAGATAGGGAGTTCTTTACAGAAAGTAGCTTTACGTGAACTGCTAGAGGCTCAGCAGAATTCTGGGTCTCCCCATGGCTGGATCGCCGTGAAATGCTTGGGATGGGCACTGGTCTGAGAAACGAAGGGTTGAAATAATATTTATTACAGAGGCCAGCTTAGAGCAGGGCCTGCTGCGCCAGCTGCTGTGCAGACACAATCTACCAATGCATCAGGGAGCTGTATGATAGTTTCTACACACAACCACACACCGGCACACATACACCCATTGCTAGGCCCCCCATGCACACCTGCCTTCCCACACGTGCATGGCTATACACACCCCCCCACTTCTGCAGACAGCACTACACATGCTTCCCTACGCACACAAACATAGACACACGTGAATACACATGGACACACACACAGGCACACAAATACACCCAGACTAGCCCCCGGGAGCTCTCCTTCCCGAGTCGCTTGAGTGCTGGAGCTGAGGTCTGCCCAGGTGTCTCATGGGCAGGGCTGGCCGTCTCTAGAGGCTGCCCCTTACTCTCAGCACCAGATCTTGTTCTCGTGCCCAGCTGAGGGGGCCTGTTTTGAAGCCACCCCGCTGGGCAATTCAAGGCTTGCTCTTGTAGCCCTTAGCTGGTTGGGGGCGTGGTACCGGAGGTTTTTAACCCTTGGAACTCCCTGCAACAGGACTTTCCAGGAGTGCAGGAGGCTATTAACCCTCAGAACCCACTGCACCAGAACATTACAGGGGGGTACAGGAGGCTGTTAACCCTCAGAATCCCTGCAGCAGGACGTCATAGAAGTGCAGGAGGCTGTTAACCCTTGGAACCCCCTGCAGCAGGATGTTACGGGGGTACAGGTGGCTGTTAACCCTCGGAATGCCTGCAGCAGGACATCATGGGGGTGCAGGAGGCTGTTAACCCTTGGTACTCCCTGCAGCAGGACATTACTGCAGTGCAGGGTTTGGTGACGGGCAGAGGTGTTCTCAGCTGGCAGGCTTTGGGGCGCAGGGGGTTCTTACCTTGGAACCCCCTGCAGCAGGATGTTACGGGGGTACAGGTGGCTGTTAACCCTCGGAATGCCTGCAGCAGGACATCATGGGGGTGCAGGAGGCTGTTAACCCTTGGTACTCCCTGCAGCAGGACATTACTGCAGTGCAGGGTTTGGTGACGGGCAGAGGTGTTCTCAGCTGGCAGGCTTTGGGGCGCAGGGGGTTCTTAGGGTTAAAGCGGGCGGCTAACTGGGCCCTCCCTCTGCCCCCAGCGGCCCTGCTCTTGGCTGGGGAACCCCTGAACCCCAAATGCTTCACAC